CATATTCCGTACATGTTTAGTTTTAAGAGCAAGCGCTCGTGTGGCACGCTGTCAAAGGCTTTCGCGTGCGTGAAAGAGCATGTAAACGCTTTGCACGTAATTTTGGTTGGTTTGAAATTGTCTGGAACAATTATTCGGATGAACGGTTTAAGAAAACATTCAGGGTTTCCAGGGGAACATTCCTTTCCTTTACATTCTCAGGAAAATCGAAAATTCATCTTTGAAGAATGCTCAAGTGCGCATGCGCTTTAGTGATGGTTAATGAAAACGAGGCCAAAACATGTATTAACAAAATTAATGCATTTGGATCGGCCCATGTGAGGTACGGCGTTTGACCCGAAGTCGATCTTCAGTCGTTCTTCACGACTGACCTAATCGTGAAGAACGACTTAGTCAATCCAAATTGAATCAGTCGAACTTAATTGGGTCAGACGCCGTACTTCACATGACCTTATTACCCTGTATTAGGTTCGGCTCATGTGAATTACGGCGTCTGACCTGGGCCTTAGATAAGACTAAGAACAATTCCTATCTTTATTATTCGAGCAGCTACGTAGTGCCGCCTTATCACACTCGTTTTTCGTAACGAGTACTCGTTACAAAGTATGTTTTGGTGGATCACAATGATCAAAACCTGCTATGCGACGCCGACAAATTGTAGTATAGAAAGAGCATTATCTCTGCAAATTATTTTAATAATCTCTATTGGAGCCCGCCTATTCAGTTTGGAACGTCAAGTACCTGGATAAAGCCAGCATTATCATGAACATCATCAAAGATAAGAAAGGATTGCAGGTATCAATCTGGGTTAGGGTTTTACCTTTTTCTAAATACATTCGTATTTCTAATATGACTCCTGGTGGAAATCCTGCCTCCTAAGAAGAAATCAAACATTTAGTTAGTTAATCGGTCACTGTCGATTACTTTACACAGTCTAACAGCAGGCAGGCAGGCAGGCAGGCAGGCAGGCAGGCAGGCAGGCAGGCAGGCAGGCAGGCAGGGAGGGAGGGAGGGAGTGTGTGATTGCGTGAGGGAGAGAGGAACAGGAACNGCAGGCAGGCAGGCAGGCAGGCAGGCAGGCAGGCAAACAAACACAGATGTGTCATCTAAATGTGTCATCTAATCCGTTCTAATAGTTCTGCGTTTGTCATTTCATTCAATAAGGAAAGGTTTTCGTTTTACATACTTGTAACGTTTTCTTCAAATCATCTTTGTTCGCCACCAGCAATGAATCCTAGCAATAAAAAAACAAGGGTATTGGTATTGAGGGCTGAAGCCCCCCTTTAGCAGAAAAAAAAAACTGAATAATTGGGTGCTCTTATATTGTTTTCTGTTGTGTTGACGGAAGAAACTCAATTAGACCCCCCTCCCTTAACTTAATTCGTTCCCCCTAAAATTTTGGCTGGATCCGCCCTTGTCTTACTTGTATAAAAAAGAACTTCAAGTTTTTTCTGCATCTTCAAATTTTCAATATCAATATCACCCAGTTGACATATTTCTTAAAATTTCACTTGATATTCGTGTTTATTTTTAAAATGCGATTTATTCTGAATAGTCGAATCTAAAGGTCCTGTTACACGTTGAAACTTTTAGCTGAAACTGCAACGCCGTTGCAAGAACATTTCCGCTAAGACAAGTTTCATGGGAGTGAAACACGGCGCAATTGCGTCCTGAAATTTGTTCGCGACAAAAATTACGGTTGCACGAGTAGAAAGCAGTTCTAGGTTTTGTGAAATTTTCTCGCGACGAAAGCTTCGTCGTGTAACACCCCCGTGAACTTGTCTTACAACGCTATAGTGCACACAAGTTTCAGCAAAAAGTTTCAACGTGTAACAATTATGGCCTAAACTTTAGTCGCATTCAATGGATCTTGTTTAGGAAGTTTTTTTTTCGTCAATGAATACGAGACATTTTTCTGCCCATACACTACCACGTATACAACACCTTATTCGTTTTCATATACGTTTTGTAATGTTGTACAATCATGTAACTTACTCTGATACAATTTTGCTTGAAGTTTTCAAATAGATTTTCCAGCTTCAACTTTTGTAACATAGTATGGACCTTGGCGTAAGGATCCCAGTCTGGTGAAAAACATGAGTAGTCGTTCTTGACATTAATTCATCATATTCTTGGGGGGGGGGGGGGGG